ACTCACCAGAACATTTATATGGGACTCAGATGCCCCCCCCCACCAATAAAAACCACACTAATGATGAGCCCGATTGAAGAAGGAGGAAGAAACATCATCCACATCCCCTCAAGGAACAAAGCCATAGACGTAATAAAACTGAAAAGAATACTAGAAAACAAAAGCATCAGACCTCTCGCAAGCGCCGCAGCAGAAGCAATAAGTACCCTAGCCACCCCCTGGGACATCCTATCGAAAGAGGAACAAGACCCAAGCATCACCAACATATACACCCAGCGCCTGTTCATTAAAACCAGATACACTAATAGCCACCTCCCCAATGAAACAAAGTGAATCCTAAATACAAGCGCCAAATACAACCTAAGATTAGATGCCCCCTACTTCACAGACAACACGAAAATGAACCTACCTGCATGGCACCATATTGGGAAAAGGAATGATGCAACATACAGGGAAAGAGGCCCAGCCAAAAAGTGCCTAAGGAAAACCCACAACTGCTGTAAGACAGGAGACCTGGTCATACAAGCGAGTTACGCAGAAAGAAGAGACCACCAACCAAAAAATAAAAAATGCCCCAGCTCAAAATGCACCAACTACAGAGCACAAGGGTGCAGAAACCCAAACACCTGCTATACCACTGCCAAAAAAATACTAAGCAGCCTAAAACCTAAATTCAACCCATACGACCTCGAATCCCCGAGAACGCTGATAGAAGATGATGACAGAGAAAGCTCCAAAAGAAATGCCATAGGAAAACCGGACGAAATAGTGACTTTCGACAATAACCTATCAGAGAACAAGGACACCCTAGCAAACTTCAGGATATTCATCGGGAAAAACGTCCCTCTCCCCCAAGCCGGAGCTTGAAATACACCAGACAACCCCTAGACACAAAAGTATTTATGGATGGCTCCTGCACAAACAATGGAGAAGTAACGGCCAAGGCGGGATATTGGGTATGGTTCGGACTGAATGATCACCGCAACATTGGAGCTGCAGTAGATGAAAACCTAACCCAAACAAACAACATCGCAGAAATGTCAGCAATACTCCATGCCATTGAATCAACCCCGAGCAACACATGCCTCCACATAAAAACAGACTCTGAATGGTGCATTAAAACCCTAGGCCCAAACCTCCCCAAGTTAGAAGACCAAGACTACACAGGAAAAAAGAATGCCGACCTGATCAAGGAAGTCGTCAACCTCCTGAGAAGTAGAACAGCCATGACTACCCTCGAATGGATCAAAGGCCACTCTGGTATACAAGGGAACACTGAAGCAGACAAACTGGTGGCCCAAGGAGCTGTGAAAACCCCGGAGTCGAGAATCCCCACAACACCCAGAAACCTCCCACACTGCCCAAGAGGGGCCAGGCTCTGATTCCTCACCCAAGCTACAGCCCTGAAACTAATCAAAAGAGAAAAAAGGAGAAAAATGACCAACTCAATGTGCAACGCCACCATGGAAAACCTTGACAAAGTCAGACAAACACTAAGCGAACTAGGAAATGGAAAACCCAACAATGAGAAAATATGGCTCACAACCCTGAAAAACAAAAGAGACATACCAATGAACATCTGAAACTTCATATGGAAGGCGATTGTCACGGCCATGCATTCCGGCCCGTTAGCTGCCTGTCCTGATGCCGCCCGAGCCCGTTCCCGCTATGCGAGCGTGAGCGCGAGCCCCAACCTCAGCCCTATCCTCCCTGAGGACTCCCTGCTCACTTCCCCGCTTGCCCCTAGGCTCCCCTACACTTGGCCGACTCCCCTGCTGCTGCACCAACCTTCCCACCCTGAGTCCGCCTCTGGCACCGTGCCCAGCGCGACTCCCCTACCCCGCCCACTTGGCCCCTACAGGGCCGCTATCATCCCCGTGCCTGACTCCGGCCCAACTCCGAGTCCAGTGCCGCTATGATACCATTGCCGCTATCACGGCCCTACACTCTTTCCTTTATTTATCTGTTATTGTTTGTTTTGACCCTCGGTCATTGCCGGCCGCTATGCGGCCAACCCCGCTCCTTCTTCTTGTTTGCTTCCGGACCCTTCGGCCTCCGGCCCGGGTCCGCTTCCATTCATTTCTTCTTCCTATATATATCCTGTATGATACTTTATTGTACCTTAGCTCTAATATCGATGTGACCACGACCCCTAAGTCCTGACCCCAACAAGGCAACCCCAGTGAGTCCGAAATGAGGGCCAAGAGACAGCTAGGGGGCACAGCACTCCCTTTAGAGTTGCTGAGGCCAAATGCCCTACCCTCAGGCCTTGTCTGAGGCATCGCGGCCATCGCGGCCAATAGCGGCCCGCCTCGGCGACCTTCGGTGCCGACTCCGGATCAGTGTCTAACAGCGATCCACAATGGCCACAAAATCGGAGAATACTGGACAAAGATCCACAACTATGAACATAGAGGAATCTGGCTAAAATGCGACAAGATGGAAGACCTAAACCACATACTGTTCGAATGTACACACAACCAGAGCCAGACGATATGGAAGATAATCAAAGACCTATGCTCGAAAAAAGATATGAACTGGCCAATCAACATAAGCACCACACACATCATGGCTGCCCCTCTCTGGACGATAACGGAGGAAGACAGAAAAATAATGACCAGAAAAACCAGAGCCCTAAGGATCCTCCTACTGGAAGGGGCATGGCAGATATGGAAGCTAAGATGCCACAGAGTGATAAACAGCTCAGAGGAAAACACCATCGAAATATCAAAACACGAGGCACACAACACAATAAAGGCCGCCCTAAACGAAAGGCTGCAAAGCAAGAGAATCCTCACCAACAGCAAGAGATACAGTAAGAAGGCCTTACCAGAAAGTCTAGTCCTGGAAACCTGGAAAGACCTAGTAACCGCATCCGAAAACATCCCTGCTAACTGTGTTAGAATGCGGGGATTCGGACGACTCCGGAGTGGAATCGGAGACTTATCATGGAAGGACCTTGGCCTCAGCGACTCATGCGGAGCGCTGTGCCATTGCTGGTTGTCCTAGGGGTCCCTAATTTCGGATCTAGCAGAGGGAAAGTCTCTTGGGGGAATTCAAGTTGATTTCGGACTGAGGTTACAAGTTACTAGGTACATTGTATATAAGGAGGGGTCCGGAATCAAAAGGAACAAGGGTAGGACGAAAGGAGACAAAGGGAGATGGAAAGAGGAACAACACCGAGGGTCAAGTGTTTGACTCAATGGTGTTTCCCAAAGGAGGAATGAAGGGCCAAGGCCCAAGAAGGAAGGAAGGAGGATGGGAGTCGGGAATGGCTAGCTGACTGAATAGAAAGGAAGCAGCAGCCCAAATAGGAGTGAGGGAGAATAGCGGAATTGAAATGGACAATGCAATAGTTGCAAGTTCCGGAGTAAGTCCGGAAAGTCCGAACTCGGAGGTTAAACTCCGGAATATTGGCAAAGGTAATTAAATGGAATGAGCTAACCAATACAATGGGTATAAGCGGAGGTGGGGTCAAAGTCCGAGGTCGGAGCTAAGACCGGAGGTTCCGGAGATGAGACGTGAACGGGATACCGGAGCGGAGGTCCGGAGTTGGGAGCATAGGTTTTGTGTACTCGTCTGGAAAGTGTCGAGGTTGGGGTCGGACCCGGAATGTTCCGGAGTCGGACCGAAGGTGGTGTCCGAGCCGGAGGTGGGATAACCTCTTGGGAGTCGGCAAGGAGAAAGTGATGGAAGGGAAGTAGGGCTCCGGAAGTCGGAGTTCGGAGTTCCAGGAGCCCGGAGTGGAGGTCGGGATTGTATGGATATGACAAACTGGCTAAGTACCAGTGGGGTATTCCTGATCCCCCAGATCGGAGCGAGCCCCACACTCACGTGATGTACAGTGTGTAAACGCATTTCCCCACAGTGGAGTTACAGGTTTGGCTCGATACAACATCCCAATTTCACTCCCATCCCCAGGGGCACTCCCCCTAAATCACAAACCCCCAGGTAGAAATCTACCCAGCGAAAGCTATGGAGGGTTCCACCAAAAAAAAAAAAGTATTTTGCATTTTTCTCAATGATTTATTCGTCAATTCAGTCTCAAAATATATATTCTGGAAGCTATTCAAGGGGGCTATCCATCTGCATAAAGTGCATTGAGACCGTGGGAAACAGTGCTGACACCCCTTCAGACAGTGACCAGCATTGTGCACAGACATTGAGTTGGACAGCCACCATCAAAAGACTCGTGTCCAAAAAAGTATTTTGCGTTTTTCTCAATAATTTATTGGTCAATTCAGTCTCAAAATATATATTCTGGAAGCTATTCAAAGTGGCTATTCAACTATGTAAAGTGTGTTCAGACCATGGGAAACAGTCTTGACATCCCTCTAGACAGTGGTCAGGATGTGCACAGACCATGGGATGGATGAGTATGGCATTCCGGGACAATTTGCAACCATTGAATCAAACTAAATTAGGACATCTGAGGACGATTGCAACAAATGAATGAAACTGAATGGCCAGGATGTCCTAGGACGTTTATAGTGAAAAAGGCCTTTTAGGCCCCATGCAAACATCCTGAGATCCCCCCTATAAAGGCCCACATAGTGGTTGTCCAAGGTGGAACAGAGAAGGAATCACGATGGGGTGATTGGAGAGGAGGCACAACGGATTTGATAGACTACATATTGTACTTACACACAAACCTGACCACACACCCGACCACACAAACCCCCAGGATCTCACCAACCCAAACACACTCCCAGACATAAAACCATGTATACTCATGTACCCACGGTGTATTGCACGGGGATGGCCGCACTGCCACGTTAAATCGCGGCCGCGGGGTAACAAATCAGAGTACAACCACAACTCACAACCGGAAATAGAAAAAGTCAGCCAAGATAGTCAGAGGACACAGCCGAAGGCTCCCTGGCCTTGTTTAAGAAAATGGCGGTCGATCATTATTTATTTGCTGCCATTTTTGGACAGTTACATGACTCACATGGTCATTCGTCCAGAAATCCCGAGATAATTCAAAATTGGATTTCCCTATTTAGCTGTAGGATTTCAAGACGCCCGTCTGGCGTGACCTTAGTGTTCTAGGCTATTACTGGTAATATTAATTACCTCTGCATCAGCTCATCCTCCATTATTTAAGTCAAGCCCTCAAATCCCCCACTTCACTAGTCATCTGTATCAAAACACTTTCGACTTGATGCCTTCACGCTGTTTTGTCTGTCGACTAAGGGGAAAGGTATGTCTGAGTTGCGAACATCTATGGATATCTTGCCACCGATCCGGCGAGCCCGTCCGGGGTCATTACTCTTGCTCTGCTCATTTCCCTTAGAGCAGCTCAAATTGATTTTATTTGATTGGAGAGCCCAGCATGGAAGGCGCTAATGGCGTCACAGCCTAAGACGAGTGTTTCACATCCATGTCACACCTTTGGTGACGCAGCGCGACAAAAACATTTTCTCACCCATCTTTCCTTGGACTTATCCTAGGGATGTACTGAGTCCCTAGATTCCCGACCTTGCGACCCATGTAGCAGGATGTGTATTGAATGCATCGCCTGCCCAATGGCGATTCCTAGTGTTGTCAAGGTGTGCTTGTCCCTGTTGCGTCGATAGACTTCTTGATAAAGGAATGATTCCATAGAGATCGGCTAGGGCCCGGGAGTGTTTGCTTGAAGTTAAAAGGCTAGCTGAGCCTGGGCATACAGGGATTGGTTCGTGATAATGCCTCAAGAGATCGTTTGATATAATGCTCATCCCTGCCTTTGTATGTAGCACGTCTCCCAAAGACTCGCAAGCTTCTCCTAGACCTGCAGCCTATCCTTGGAGATTCGACGAATCAAAGCGCGACTGATGAAGGGAACCCTGCCGAGCCCACTGTCACCTTGGCGATCACAACCCCACATATACTTGGGAACCACGAGCCCTCCGGCTTACCCCATGCTTTGGCGTCTACTACTACAGCCTTCCCAGCGAACTACATTGGCACCGCATCAGCTGTTGACGAGCCGCCCAATGTATTTCTAATGGGGTCACCTGTGCGTGAAGCCAATGTCAATGAAGAATCGTTGGATCTCCGAGCACAAACCCTATTCCCTCCTTCTGACCATGATCTAGGGGGAGGATCTACTTCCATTGGCCCTACCCTGCCTGACATGATGCCGCCCTTCCCTCAATTTGTCCCCGACTCCGAAATGGCTTTCCCCCTTAACAATTTGAACCCTATGTTGTTGGGCACATTTCATCACGCCGCAATCCCCGATCAGACCGCCTGGTCTTCTAGGCCTGGTCCCTCTCACATAGTTGCTCCACTACCGGCCATTGTCGCACCCGAAATTCCTGATCGCTTACAGGACAGGCGGACAGAGAATGAGGGCGTTGTCTTTTGGCTTCAAGGCCTGGCTCAGAGGCTGGGATATCGCCTTGTCCCTTTCTAACTCGATGTGGGCAGTGGCAGATCAAGAGTGAACCCCACGCTAAGTTGATTCCCTGCCCTCGATTCGTCCCGAATGTTCGGAATTGCTGTGGTAACTTCGTTGGCTCCGTGGTGTGTGATTGGCTACGTATGACAAATGGTCTTCCGATTCGTGCTTTTTGTGTTCGTTTCACCTTTCTCGTGCGGTGTGTAGAATCGGTGACCTTTCTCGTTTGTTTCGTCGACCTGTAGTTCGTGTTCGTTCCTAATACATCTTTCCCCGAGGAACCCGAAAGATTCCCCCAATACGACAATCGTAAGTAAGCGCCAAAATCCTTCAGACGCTCAATTAAAGCCATGAATCGGGTTGAGTTGCACACCTCCAGGTTTATCCCACCCAGCACTTTGTTCCTTCCTTTCTCACCGAGCGAATAGTGCGAATGAGAAACGCTCCTAATTGGAGATTTCTTTGTGTGACTTCAAATAAGGACAGCCTCCATCCCGTCCCTTATAGATATGGCCTTCGTGGGACCACACTTTGGGACAGCAGATTCAAATTCCAAGCGAAGGCATGGGCGGATCCTGTATGAATTGTTTTGTCCAAGGTGAAGCAAAGCTACAGGGAAGCATCCGCAAGGCAGAAGAAGTACTGGGTCCAGGCTGGAACCGTGAGGTGCACGCAGAATTGTCACGACATTGTTTGAAAGGGGCCTGAGGCGTTAATGTGCCTTTTGCCGCACCAAGTGAAAGCATCCGGCTTTTTGGTTGCGGCTATTCTTCGTTCCATCTACATCAGCCCACCAGCGCAACTTGAACCCCAGCTCAACAAACTGGCTCATCACGCGCAAGTCCGAACTTTTAATGTTTGTTCAAGAGCCCCTTTGCTGCTCTTTTAGTGAGGAAACCGTTTACCGGGCGCGATTCTAAGCCGATCCGGGGGTAGCCCCCTGACGGTACCCTTGCCACACCCACACGCCCACAAGCGGCCATTCCTGCACACCTGAGCGTACCATCGCAGCCCGCAGACGTCCTCAACCTTCCATCTGAACCCCCGATTTGTCAGCTTCCGACATCATGCCACCCAATTCCTGACTCGACAGCCTCTCCTTAATTTGCAAGTCCTCTCTGAATATACAGTCCTAACCCAGCCAATGCACACGCAATTTTGCCTTGTGTTCCCACGGTGCTCACACATCGACAACAACACCAATGGGCACGATTATGTACATTAGATAGTTTTCTAAATAATATCAAAAGTTGGAGATCAAGCGAATAAAAATGAAGGAGTAAAGTGTGAATCTTTACCATGGTGCATTTTATATTGAAAAGTGCATTCCCATTCAATGCAACAAACTACTCACCATCATCCTCTGAAGTGAGTCCATCCTCACTTGAGCTCCCTGGGCCCCGAGTCCACCATTAACATGTTGGAGGAACACCACGCATTCACCGATCTCTATTGTCGCGTGATTATCATGTGACTTCCGTTATAGTATAGTCATGTTTATTTTTTCTGAATTCTTTTCTCAGTTCTCGCTGTAGAGACTGAGGTCAGTCCCTTTCATCCAACTTCATATTTAGCTCCTATCTTACATTAGGGGGTTTCATGGTTGACTAAAGTGGATCCAAAGTGAAATTTCTCAAGTGGCATGTGAGTGACAAAACTGGACCTAAACTGCATCTAAACCGGCCACTTTGACTTGGGGCTCAAGAGCCCCAATTGGCCTAAAGTCAATTTTCTAAACTGAATCTAAACTCGGGCTTACCGCTGATAAATCTGCAAGCCCTGAGAGTGTGTCTACTATACAGTTCTTCATCCCAGATCACCTGTCCGCTTTCATCAACCCCATCACCATCATCTTGTCTCCACTGTCTCCACTGTCACCGACTCCAACATGGTCTTGGACTTCAATGGGAACTATCATAGCATAGGCTGCTAGGGACATGGAGTATGTGGCTTTTCTCTTTCTCCTTGTTCTCTTTCATGCAATTACCATGTCACGGATGCTTTGACCTCATGACAGAGCACAAACATTGCGTTCATACCACATCCATGCACTCTCCCTCAGTTCTCCAACATGAGACTGAGGTGAAGGAACATCCATTCATATTTTCCACAATCCCAACCAACCTGTGTTATGTTCATGTATTGTAGCTACATAATCATAGGTTGTAATGTCACTCATTCTCAACATCGGACTGGGCAGTGACCGGTGAGCTAGGGTGCTTCAATAAACAGGCAGATTGGATGCGGTATTGTTCATTTTGAGAGTTGCTGCAAGTGCAGGGAGACAGCCATAGTGACATATGTACAATGTGAGACATGGATGAAAACAAAGGTGGAGGAAGGGTGCTGTTGGACAGTTGGATCAAATTGCAGTAACACACGAAGGATGCAGCACTTATGCAACTCAGAGAGTTGCCCAAGCTTGTGCAGTTGTTACACAATACAGCATGGTAACGGACTTAGGGGAGCCAGGACTGAGGCACTTTTGATGCACTTCAGACCAGAGCACCATGAACGCGCTATTGCAAAGTTCTAAACTGGAGCTAAAGTTGCTCTAAACTGAGGTCTCATGTGAGCCAAAATTTGGGCCAGTTTAGATGCAATTTAGAATCCAGTTTAGACTCAGTTTAGCCAACTGTGAAACCCCCTATTGTAATTAGTCACTCCTTTAGGTTAGGATAATCTATCTCAGTTCTCACTGTAGAGACTGAGTCACTCCTTTATAACACTCCCTTCAATCTCTTTGTCAGGGCCCGGCCTCTGTCCAGGGGTGGCCCTACCTCAGAGCTGGACACTTGCGGTGTCCCAGGCAGCCAGGTGCTGGATCCTATCCCAAGCTCCTCAAACTCACTAAGTTGGGATTGAGTGGTCATGTATTATGGAAGGTAGCTACAACTTGCCTAAGCGGGGATTGAGTTGAGAAGAAGGGTAAGTTTCCCTATTCCCTGCTTGGCTGCTATAAATGGGAAATGTACTGTACAGTTCATAACATGACTATGGGTAGAAGCTGAGCATGTTCCCATGATGCAGAAAAGGTGTCACATGGGTTAAGGCAAGTTGCTTGCCTTGACCCACGTGATTTTTCCCACGGGTTCGCATGCAGGCTGTAGTTGTGAGAGGTATGTAAAGATGGGAGGATCAGGGAAGTGGGGGGAGGTCAGGGAAGGTGGTTCTGGGGTTGTATGGTCAGGTGTGGTTGCCCTGACACTCTTCCTCCAATTCAGGGTCCATTACTAGTGCCCAAACCTCTGTGCACATGGCAACATGTGGCCTCTGTGGAGGTTTCTCACCCTGGCTGTGGCACACTTCCTTCAGCAATTCCCAATTCTGCAACACCATCTCATTGTCTAGCTTAGCAGCTTCCCATGCCTCTGCCCTCAATTGCTTGAGCACTGCAAACTTGTTGGCAACTTTTTTCTGTGTCTAAATTGGGAACAGGTCATGTGAAGGTGCCATGTCAGCCATGGACAGAGCTGTGCTATCACAGGTGGCTCTGCAGGTGATCCTGAGCGGTAAAGAAGAGAAGTACAAGGATGTGCAGCATGTCCAGTGGCATGGCACCATGCAGGGTACTCGGTGCCAGATGCATCCATGCTACAGGTGTAAGAAGGGGGTCGTCCATATAAGGAAAGAAGGAAGGAAGGAAAGGAGGAAAAGGAAGAGAGGAGGAAGAAAAGGAGGGAGCGGTGCTGAGCAGTGCGGTGTGCCCTGACAAATATCAACAATCAGTTCTGACAATGGAGTGGTGAGGATGGGATTGATTGTTGGTGGCAGAAGTGAGGTTTGGGGACTGTCAGGAACGTGTCAGACGCATATCCGGGTGACCCGCGAGGCGCGCGAAGTCGTCCGGGCTCGTAAGGTTGGAGGGGTGGGACTTTAGCTTCAGCGACTTGGGTGGAGTGCTGTGCTTCGTTCTTACGTTGGTGTCCCAATTTCAGACAGAAGCCTTACGATGAGGAGAGGAGTCTAGAGGGGGAATCCAAGTCGATATACGAACTGAGGTACATCCGGTGTAACCTACATGCATTATAAACACAAGTAACTAAATGAGACCGGCCCAGAAGGAGTGGCGGATCAAGCGCGATATTAATGAATGAAGAAAGGAACAAATAGTTAATATTGGCAAACTTGGTCAACAAAAGGAGGAACAATAGTCCGCAAGCGGACAGAAGAGAAAAGGCCATCCAGCCGTCTAGCAAGCCGTCTGGCTGGCGAGCAGACAACAATGAAGCGGGCAACCTAGGTTGGAAGGTACGCGCGCGAGGGAGGAAGTGCAGATGAGGGTGATGGGTGGACGGGTGGGGGGATGGATGATGATGATAGCGGGAGGGACGGGCCAAGTGGCACTAGGACACGTTGACGGAAGTGATGGATATGTTGGGTCGTGACAGGGTTGAACTTTACACCCCCATTTTTCTTCTTTATGCAACAGGCTCACCACTGGCATAGTTCGCATATAAGAAGGGAGCTTTTTGGACTCCCTCTCCCTCAGATCTCTAACATGAGTCTGAGGTGAGATTGGTTTTATTGTTCTTTACAAAAACTGTCTAACTGTTGGTGCAGATACTTACATGCCATAGGTACATACAAATTCAGATCTTGTCAGAGACCAGGTTCGGGATGAACAGAGATGTCCCTGTGATCAGAGGGCTTCAGCCTCAGTGACTTATGCCAGGAGCGCTGCAAGCAGGCTAGAGATCTAACCCCCTAAATGCAAGCAAATTCATGGGGAGGGAGTCTAGGATGTCCTCAGCTTGTCCTAGGTTCAGTCTGGGTGCTAACAAAACAAAAACAATCACAAAAACTCATTAAGAATTACATACCCCTGGTCCATCTTGGACAATCATCAGGGATTCCTTATAATACTCAAGGAGTCAAGCTTAGGGTTTCTTTTCTACTTGGATCTCTCAGCGCTACAGTCTCTTTTATAGTCAAAAGGGAGGT